TCAAAGAGTATTTGAGTTTCGTCTCTGTCCAATATAACACTTTGAATTTCTAAGATCTTGGTTGGACAATGACCTAAATGGTGAGACGATGGACCGCATGATCAGAAAGGAATATCTACGTCGAAAGAAGCTTGGAGAAGGAGTACCTTGTTACATCAACTTCAACGACTTAGATTAACTAAAACTTTCTATCTTGTAAATCTTTTTATTTTCTATATCTTTTCTTTCAGTGTACAACTTATATGTAATAAGTCCAGAACTTACTGTTGTACCACTTGTATGTTTCCAATGAATAATATAAGTATTTCTTCAGTATCATTGAAAAAGATCCCTGAAAAAAGTAATAGGGACATGTATCTATGAGTTCCAGTTTACTCTAACATTAACTGACAACCGTCACTCAGTAAACATGCTTTTAGTTTCAGTTATCATTCTTGTACTTATTTCTCTTGAATTTATAACTTAAGAAAACTATATCATTGAAAAAGATCCCAAAATAGTTAAAAGGGACTTGTACTTTACTTGTAACTTTTCCTTACTATTAAACCTTAGTCAATCTTCTTTATGTTGCTTTGTCATCATCAAATATGGGGGATTGTTGATCCTCTTTCATTGATTTAATGGTAATCCTTTTTATCTATTGAAGTATAGTGTTTCTACTTATTCAATTTCAGCGATCATCACTGAGTCTGTTCAGTGATCGCTGAAACATGCATTATAACTCTCCAGTGACTCTTATACTTCAAGAAGACAAAACTCACACCAAAGAACCTACAGCAATGTCAAATACAGAAACTGAAGATTAGAGACTAGTGCGTTCGTAATCCGAAGTGGCATTCAATGATTACAAACTAGTCAGCATACGTGTGAAAACGACACAAGCCTCAACGAATGCTGAAGAGACCTCCAGCGTCATCCCAGCATTTAGTGATCAAATGAAGCTTACTATGCATGTTTGTTGTTGTCTTGTCCTTCCACACACTAAGGACAAACTCATACCTTTTCTAGAGCACAGTACAGTGTGGAGCCAATTAGTTGACTCTAGTGCTCACCAACTCTATGAAAAGATGTCTGCTCATGAATAGACAAAAGGACTATTCACTGTAGTAAAGAACAAACTTTCCTCTAAAAGCTTGACACGTATTGTGTACCTTCTGAATTGCATTTAATTCAATGGGTATAAATAGTTGAGCTCTCTCCACTCAGAGATACATGTAATTAGAATTTGTCTTTCTTATTCTAAGAAGCATACCCAAGAAGAAATCTCTCCCTCTCTCTCTTTCCCTCTCTCTCTCTCTCTCTCTCTTTAAAGAGAAAGAACCACTTCTAGCAAGTGAAGAACACATTTCCAAGTCTTAATTTCTTACAACAAATCTTTTCTATTTTCTAAGTGCATTTGTTATACATTTTTTAGATAGGTTTTTCTTTACCTTAACTTGTCCGCAAACAATCTGTAAAATTTGTATTGATCCTTCTTTATCAATAAATTAATTTTAAAAGTGAAATTTTTTGTGTTTGTATTCATCTCCCCCCTCCCTTCTACAAACTGTTACCTATAAACTCTTGTAGATCCGGCTGGGACTAACACCCTCATTCCTATCAGCGTGAAATGACATTCATTTTCAATTAGTTCTCTCTTCCGCTCTTTCTGTCCCTGGCTTCTACTTTCACATACCTTCTGGCCTCAGTCGTTGACTTTTCCCCTTCCGCTCCTCCATTTAACAAGTTCGCCCATTCACAAGGACTTGTTCTATGTCCAAACATCACATGCCAGCAGATGTGGTCACCATCATAGGTACTCGAGATATTGTGTCTGGAGAGGTGGATAGATAGGACTAAGGTAATAATCTTGAGTTTTCGGCTCATCATTTCCAGTCGAGTAAATGAGCATCCCCTCTTCATCACATTCGCAAAGTACGGTGTATCTATAGACCTCTTTCTTTATCTGTCATTTCTCAATTGTTGATTAAAAGAGAATAGGCGTTATCCATTGAATAAAGTAAAATGAGGGTTTGCTACAGTGATTCGGGTGGTTGGTGGCCCCTTCGAGAGTTGCGGATCCTTGTCGCTGCATGAGTGGTAGCTCAYGCTCAAAAGTCCTCCGACACTAGTCATAGTCTTTGTGCTACAGTCTGTTGAACTGGAGAAGCTTGTTAGGATGGCTTAGTAAGCAGGCAGGCAGGTATGTAGGTGACAACTCCCATTTCTTTCTCTTCTTTCTTTTTTATCATCAAAAGATGATTGTCGTATATTTTTTGAATCGAATACCTTCTTCTGTCATCTCTAGTCTATTTCCTTTTTAGAGCAAAATAAAAACAACCTAGTATGGTTGTACAAGGGGAAAGGCTTGATAAGAAAAAGTTTGGGGTTGTCCCACTTAGTTACCAAACATTGACATCACTTGTCATTCAGGTACTAGTATCTACAAATAAACTCCACTCTTTCTTGTACCTGGCCCTTCGAGAGTTGCAGGTCCTTGTCGCTGCATAAGTGGTAGCCCACGCTCAAAAGTCGTCCAACACGAGTCCTAGTTATTACGTTGTGGTACGTTTCCCGGCTTCGCTTGTGATCTAGCGGATGGAGTGGGATTCGAACCCCCGATATTCCTATCAATACTTTGGTTTTCAAGACAGAAAAACAACCTAAAACAATCATTTAACGGACTGAAAATCAAAAACAAAATGCATATAGTGGTGTTGGTTGACGGTGAGGGAATACGATGGTGACGGTGGCGTTGTTCGACGGTGGTGATGGAATTAACAGAAAAATGTTTGAAATGATAAAAATACCCCTAAGTTTGAACTTAATGGAAAAAATTAATGACCGATAAGATGAGGAAGCAAAAGCATTATGAAACTAAAATCATTTCATAAATGTTTTTGTCCCTCCTCCTAATAGTCGTTAACTTTTTTGTTAAGCTCAATTAGATCAAAGGTCTTTTAGTCATTTTAAACTATGTCTAATGACTAAAATACCCTCATTTAACCACGTAGTTACTAAAAAAAATAGAAAATGATCTAAAATGACTAACATACCTCTGACTTTATTGAACCTAACGGGAAAAAGTCAACGATCGTTAAGATGAGGGACCAAACCGTTATGAAATGATAATCTTAATAGACCAAATCCGAATTTTCAAAGTTTAATGATGATATTCGTACATTCATATACATATGGATGCACACGCGTACCCACACACACGTATATCCATGATATCTCACATACATATATATATATATACACACACACACACACATACATACATAGATCCATCATATGCGGTTAACAAAAAACACACATATACATATATGTATAGATATACATACATACACATATACATACACGTATAGATCTATATATATATATATATACACACACACACACATACAACATATATACACATGTCCATCAAATGCGCAGTACGTAGTCATTAGCAACCAACATTAGTAAACATATATGTAAATAGATACACATACATATATAGATATACATGCACACATATAAATATACGACACATACATGTATAGTATACATATAACACACGTATATATATACGTGTATGTACATGCATATAATTTAGTAACATATAGGACACACATGCATACATATACATATACACATAACACATCACAAATTATACATAATGAATCAAAGTAAGCTCATACGAAGAAAAACTTGGAAAACACAAAAGTTAAAAAAAACTATCGGTGATTCATCCAAATCACCAACAGATTACCGACGAATATTTAATTTTTTTTCTTTTTTCTTTTTCTTAAACGGGAAAACACGGGGTCGTCGATGATTCGTCGCAAATCACCGACAATTACCTACGGATATTTAACATTTTTATTTTTTCCTATTTTTTAAAATAGGAAAACACGTGGCCGTCAATGATCCATCAGTAATTTAAGACCCATTATTTTTGTCGGTAATTTTCATCCATGATGCTATTTTTTCTAGTACTATTATCTTATCTTCATCTTTCTTATTTCTAAAGGCCCATTTATTTTTTAACTAAATGGGTATTCAATTTACGTCTACTTAAAATTGTTATATTTCATTTTTGATAACTAAATAAATTGAATAATAATATGTAAAACAATGAATATGATTAATAATGATTCTGAATATTAATNAAATTAGTTAATATTTTTTAGTTAATATTTTATTGATAAATAATATTTATTAATATTAGTAATAATCAATTCTTATTAATATTTTTTTTATAATTTTAATAAATAACAATTAATATTAAGGTGATAACAAACTTGTTTAAACTACACTCTTGTGAATTAGAGCATTAGAGCATCCCCAAGAGTTTACAAAAGTATACAAAATAATGCATTAGAGCATCCCTATGAGTTTTTAAATTAGAACAAAATAAGTTTTTATTCTCTAAAATGCTTTAACAGTTTTTTTTTTCTTGTTCTTTAAAATGGAGAATCATAGAAGAAACTTTAAATTTGAGAATTCTCTACAACTTAATGTTGGAAGAAAAAAATAATTATTTTATTCAATCGACTAATGAAATTGAGTTAATTTTTCATATTCTCTTTAAAAAAATATAATTAAAATGATAAAATTAGAGAATATTATAATAACATAATTTGTGTTAAAAGAATATGTTAAAAATGAATGTAATTATTTTATAAAAAATATGATATAATTCTTTATTTAAAAAAATTATATAAAAGAGCCGTTGAAGATATGGCAATAAACATAGAAATGAAATTTGGGTGAAGTGAAATAGTAGGTTGAATAGAGAGGCAGGCTGCTTATGCATGTGGATGGTCTATGTGGCTGCTAAATCTGTGATGGAGGCAGCAGATGAATGGCTCAACACAATGTGTCGCTGACACGTGATCATATTTGTTAGCGTAACACCATGGCCACGTGGTGACCTTACCTCGACCGGTGTTCCATTCCCCCCAACCATCAACTTGCAAAACCATAAAATCCCATTTTCCGCTGCAGCACGCCACACTGCTTCCCATTCCTCAAGCATCAGGAAAGAAATACACCATTACACACCTTCTGCTGCCTGCCTGCCTACCTACCTCTTTCAAATACATATATATATAGAGAGAGAGAGAGAGAGAGATGAGCGCGAAAGAGGTCGACGGCGGTGGCGGTGACTGGTCGATGAAGGATATTGTTGCCGTTGATGGTGGTTATGAGGCGGCGGCTACGACGACGACGCCAGCAAACGATGCAGAGAGAACGAGAGATATGCAGTTGCAGTTATCGATAGCCAAATCGTCTTCGGTGTTTCCAGGCTTCCGATTTTCACCTACCGACAATGAATTGATTTCCTATTACTTAAAGAAGAAGCTCCAAGGATCTGATAATTGCGTTGATATCATTCCGGAGGTCGATTTCTGCCGTCACGAGCCATGGGATTTACCAGGTTATTGCTCCACTAACCAGAATTCGATTTTATTTTCCACATTTCTACTTGCCAGGTTATCCGACTCTTCCTGTAATCGTACTTTACCCTCATCTTTGGCACAAAAATTACAAGGAATTGAAGAGAAACGGAATATATGCCTGTGGTTGAACAGTAGTGATCGATTTCAAACTTTTGCACATGCAACTGATTGAATAGTATCTAATAATAATCAAATGAAGATTTTCTACATTAAAAACTGAAGAGATATTTGTATCCTTTACCTTGATGAAGTTTGTCCAAGGTATTTGTGAAACTTGATTTAGGTATTTGATCATTATTGATGGATATGCAGCTTTTGTAAAGGGAGGGGTGTGTTATGCATATATATATATATATATATATATATATATTATACATAGATTCATATATAGGAATAGTAATATTATAAGGTTTGGGATATACATCACAAATATAATAATTTTATTTTATAAGAGAACCGAACCAGATGTATTACTGGTGGGTATGTGTGCCTACGGCTGCCCTATATACATACATCGACCGGAAGACCCATAATTCTATTCTAATTAGGGTCTAAAATATGTGAAACGATATTGAAGGTATATTCAACAAGATGTTCATATAATGAAAAATGTGGATCGAAAAACTCCTTTTTAAAAAATTATTAGTGCCAAATAAAGATAATATGTTTTAATTGTAAATTAAAATGAAAAATCTATCAAATACATACGAATCAATTTAATTTCAAGTTTGACGATTTGCGGTTAGGTTTGTCCTCCACAATTATCAATTACTAAAACTTAAATTTAAGATCCGAATATGTTATTGATATCTCTCAGTTTTCCATCAATCGTAGCACCAAGCGAAAGTAGTTTGGGATACAATATTTGTATTTTGAGGGTGGCGGTTGTTTGTGAAATACTGAGGGCTGAAGGAAGAAAAACCAGTTTTGGGTTTAAGAATAAATACTACATTTGCATGCATCTCCTATATCACACATTACACATATTCTTGCTACCTTTCTTTGCAGGTGCGAATTTGGCTTCCTTCATGTGCCCTTTTGTTTACTGTGACCTTATCCAAGTGGATGTCTTACTTGAATATCTTTTCATCTCATGAATACTTCATTTACCGAACAATATTTCATATTTCCCAACATAATATTTCATGATATATTGCTACAGTAAAATTAGATTTATAGGACGTCAAAATGTCTAATACTAATAGTATACTTTATAGAACTTAAGTTTATGGTACCAAACATAAAACGTCATATTTAAAAGTGTTACACTAGGTTTATACGACGTTTTAACAAATTTTTAGGACGTTTTTAAAATAAAGTGTCGTATTAGACTTTTTTATTGGACAATTTCAGAAATGTCCTGAAGTTCATCTTTTTATTGGAAACTTTTTCAAATAGTATCGTATAAAATAACTAATATGACATTTTATTTTAATAGAGTTCTAAAAATCTTGTTAAAATGTCCTGTAAACCTTTTCTAACACTTATAGGTCATACGCCGTTTTTGTTTGGTCCTATAGCTTAGTCCTACAAAGAATTTTATTAAGACATTTAGACATTTTATGCGTCCTCTAAACTTAATGTTGTTGTAGCATCGTTAGTTGGATATCTGTTTCAAAATGCAGTGTCAAATTAACCTTTTGGCTGTTAAGTTTTGATTTTATTTTAGGTTTTAGGTGTTATTTCTAGTTTAATAGTCACTGATTTTAGACTGTGCCCGATTAAATTTGATAGTAACAATTGTATGTGGCTAGCTCTTTCCATTGTTCGATCGGATAACGAGTGGTTCTTCTTTTCGGCCCGAGGAAAGAAGTATCCAAATGGCTCCCAAAGTAAAAGGGCTACCCAATCTGGATATTGGAAAGCCACTGGCAAAGAACGCAACGTAAAATCAGGTGCTGTTACAATTGGCACAAAGAGGACACTGGTTTTCCACACGGGCCGTGCCCCCAAAGGGGAAAGGACGGAATGGATCATGCATGAATATTGTATGACCGACACCACACAGGTAGATTATTGTAAAAATAAGGTCTTTTCAATTCGGCCTCTTTTTTCTGTTCAATCTCGGTGTTTCTTTACAAGGAATATGACATGTGGATACCGAGGAGGGGGACTATCTTTTATAGAACTCGTTCCATAAAGAAAACCCATAAACAAATGCCCAAAAGTTTGCTGCCAATAAACCTTATTTGTAAAATGAGAACGAAAATTTGCTGATCAAACACTTAGTTTGGTGGTATTTAGGTTGTAATTTCCCTTCTCTGATAAATGGAACATGAAATTACTTGTAGAAACTGCATTTGAACAACTTTACAACCAGTTTTAAGTTGTGTCTTGTGCTTTCTTGAATATGATATGGTTTGGAGATTACTTCAATGAAGCTTTTGTGTATACAGGAATCTCTGGTTGTTTGCCGGCTTCGTAGGAACAGCGATTTCCGCCTGAATGAATCATCAAGAGGTTCTTCTGATCAAAGGAATTTGTCAGCTGCAGATAATGGCAACTCTGGTACAAATGAGTATGCCAATACTCAAATAGAATGGTTTGATGAGGCGAACGCTGTAAAAACCTGTTCAAAGGAATCTACGAGCAGCTACAGGTCCCATTCATTCGAACAGAATGATTCCGGATCCGAGTCTGAGCGGCAACTCATTCACGAGTCCCCAAATGGTTCTTCAAGTCAGCTTAAGGTTCGATTTCTAATATGTTTGCTCACGGCAATTGTGGCCTCTCGGGAGAACTCTTCATTCAGTATACAGAGTTTTTTATACCCTTTTAAACACGTACATGGTTCCAGTGAACATGCCAGTATTAGAATTTGATTCCCAGAAACCAAATCTAACTTATATCCCACGCAGAGGTAGGATCCAGGAAGACTAGATGTACAACTCTTCTAGCTCAATTATGTTACCCTTTTCAACGCATACATGGTTGCACATCTTGATAGGCACCCGGTATTAGAATGAGTAGGTCATTAAATTAGAATCCTAGAAAACCAAACCAAACTAACACAATATATTCCACACACAAGTAGGGTTTGTGGAGGTAAAAGGTACACATACCTTACCTATACCCAAAGGATAGAGACCAGAGATCTACTAAAACAATATTAGGAATAGAACATGGCCATATGAGTGGATACCGCCACTATCAAAAATCTCGAGAGTGATGGTCAATTTATCTATCCAGATATATGGATAGATGTATGATCCAACATGCCCATTTGTAAAATAAAAAACCAAATTCCATTCTCCCGTGACTTCATGTATGAATAAAGTGGTAAAAGGGGTAGTAATTAAGAAATCATATAGAATCAATGGTTTGTATGATGCTTAAAATGTCTAACTAAGCATCCTATTAAAATGGTTTATAAGACACAAGTTTATAGGACCAAATACAAAAAAGTTCACTCCTAAAAGTGTTACCATAACTTAATAGGACGCTTCTTGGCGTTTTAACATGTTTCTCACGACACCTTTAAAATAAAGTATCGTATTAGTTATATTTATAGGACACTTTTTTGAAAAAGTGTTGTATAAGCACAAGTGTCCTACAAAAATATGGAGTAATAGGACACTAATCAAAATTGTACAATAAAATAAGCTAATACGACACGTTGTTTTAAAAAGGTCCTAAAAAACTTGTTAAAACGTCCAAAAAGTTACTTAAAACTTATTGCAACACTCTTAGATAAGAGCTTCATATTTTGGTCATATAAACTTGAGTCGTATAAAGTATTTACGATTAATATTTTAGGAGTTGTTTATAGTGAGAGGTTTGTTTATATGAAGGCCTCCCGCTTGTAAAACAAAAAATAGACTACTAAACAGCTGGAGCCAAAATTGGACATCCTCCAACAAATTATCAAAAGCAAAATCATAAGCACCGTTGAACACTTCTCATATGCACATTCTAGTGAAGAAAGCTTGATGAGGTTTAACTTTTGTTGGTAGAACAGTATCAAAGTCTAATTTACAGTTTTTGACAGGAATGTGACAATGAGGATGATTGGTTTGCGGATATAATCAACGATGACATAATTAAACTTGATGAATCAGCCTCAAACTCTTTCACATTCCACGGTGTCCTCTCAGGGAACCTGCCATTGCTCGTCCACGATCCCACAAAATGCAACCAACAAGAAACCATCTCGGCCCATGAACAGGGAACAGCATTCAGAAGAATCAGACTGAGACAACAAAAGGGTCAAACACAAGACGTAAACCCAGATGGTGACCAAGACCAGAAATCATCAGGATGCGTGATTAGCGTGCTGGCCGGCGCCACCAATAATGTTGCCAGGTTCCGTTCTGCACTGGTTTTTTTGTGTTTGCTGATGCTGTTTGTGTTTTGGCAACGGGATCACTTGCCATCATATTCCAAGCAACATCTGGGTATCAATCTGAAGCGGCAACTAAGGTATTGGCTTCATAAGGCGGCCGAGTATATATAAAGAACAGGTTTGTGTGTTTACGATAACTTTTCCCTACTTGTTTGTATAATCTTACAGACTATTCCCCATAAACAATCTAATGGTTTCTTGGCTATGATCGTTTTACGCGTTGTTACCTATGGGATTTAGATAAATGAAAACGTTCAAGTCAGGTATATCCCAGCAAGATATGGGGTTTAGAGGGTTCTCCTTTGGGATTGACCGGTTGTTTCTGTGAAAACAATCGACTTGTGAAAAGCCTCCTGTTATTATATAGATCGGCTTGTGAAAAGCCTCCTGTTATTATATAGGATATTCGTAAAACAAGAAACTACTATGATCCTTGTGATACTATGGTGGATCAAAAAATGAGAATGTAAAGATTTGCATCTTCCGAATATGTAACCGTAAAACATGATTTAACATGCTCGGAATATCATATACTTACATGTGTACGTACCCGGTCTTGAAAATCACATGATACTCGCAACTAAAACAAATTCCAAAAGTTCAATTAAGGGAAAATTACCATTTCACCTATGTGATAGTGTACCATGTTCAAGGAGTAGACAAGCATGTAAAATTACGTGCCCATGTATCAACCAAAGGTAGAAATGGTAACTTTCTCGTATTGAACTTTTGGAATTTGTTTTGGTTGCGAGTATCATGTGATTTTCAAAATGGATGTAAATATATGATATTTTCGAGAATGTTTTGAGGTCATGTTTTACGGTTACATATAAAACAATCTTTCCAGTGTAGGGTTGTGTTTCGGTGAGAATGAAAGTTATGATGAGGAGGGTAAGAAGGGATCTCCACTTTGAATCAATTCTAATTGAAGAGAATCACTAGATCATCACAAATGAGATATACTTGATCAGTTTCATTCTAAAGCCTTTATGGGTTGTTTTGGAATTAAAAAAGTGATCAAGGGTTTAAATTCTTTCTTTTATTTCACATCATAACTCATATTCTCGCGAACTTTCATCTTCTAGTCTCTGGGTAGAGAACGTGAATTAATATATGTATCATCAAATGGGTTTTTTTGGTTTACCAAATTGTTCACATATGAATCATTTATTTTTACCACTTTTTAGCATTTTTGTCTTTCTTATTTGAAGTTATTCCATCTCCAAACCTTATATTAGGGAATTATTATGTTTGTTTGGTTGGGTATATATTCGTAATTTTTGTTGCACAACCAATAGACAGTGTGATTTTATTATTCACGTCATTGAAAATTTCAAATTTGCAGTTCAATAGTCTGGTATTTATGTCTAATTGATCTCCAGGTAGAAGCCCAGACTTGGAACAATAAGTCGCTCGAATACCACCCTTTTTTTCGTTTTAGTTGTCGTTTTGAGAAAATTAGGAAGAAAAAAAGAAAGAAAATAGTTTGTTACTCTTTCCCCTATCCCTCCTACATAAGAGGCAATGCCATTTAATTTATAATTTAATGTGCTCCTTGGCATCTAATTTTTGCATAGAAGATGTAAAACAAATTTTAGGCATCCACACCAAAATAAATAAAGTTTTCTTACTGTTTGAGAGACCAAGCTTCGGATATTGATTCTTTCCCATCTCCTAATAATCAATCGGAATGCCTTATTTGTGTATACGTTTCACATAACCATCCCTTCATATTGGTCTCATATTGGAATTTGATTAGAGTAACAAGGAAAGGAAATAGGTTAATTTTTCTTATTGAAGGAAATTATTACAAAAATTAATTTTCTATAAAACACCTCAGGCAAGATCGGTCCTAGGATTTTTCATGTCCTGGACAATAAGATAAAATAATGCCCTAAGTATTTAAAAACTACAAATGAAACATATTATGTTTTAAGTGGTTTGGAACCTAATCAAGCTAGACATCTCATATCTAAGCCAATTTTTGTTATTGTTATTGCATGATAATTTATTTTTTATAATTCATATCTTATGATTATATGATTCATAATGTAATATCAAGTTAAATTGAACTTTAAAAACATGCATAAAATGATAGTTGTTCTCAAACTAAGTGTATACAACCATATAAAGATGTTTAATTTGTCTAAAGACTTCAAAAAACTTAATATTATTTGTGTATCATATTTTTAAATATCTAAACACGCTTGAGTAGCGAGTGTTTTGTAGTTTAAACAATCATATATAGCCTTAGGCAACAAACCACATTATGGGTGACAACAAAATTGGAATTGTGAGATTCAACACTAAATCAAGAAATATAATGAAAAAAAAAATAATCTTCGAGAATCATATTTATGACTATGGAAATTACAAGAAGATAGTTGAAATTATTTAGTAATCTAAACTATTTCATACATGGTTTGATTTTAGAAAATATAATAAAAGATATTTATGGTTTCGAATTAAAATTAGCTAGTGATCTATTTGTTTTATGTAGAGTTTGATCTTATTAATTCCATACATAAAAAAATGTTTGGCAAAAAGAATTATAAACACAAATATTATCACATGATTTTCAAAACAAAAATACATATAAAGTATTAACTGTTGAATATGATTAATTTTATTTCAGATAAATAAATGTTTTCATGAAAACAAGACAAAAGACGAAAAAAAGAAATGCAAGGAAGAGAAAAAAATGAATCAACAAAAAAACTAATAAAATTAGAATTGGAGGAAAAAAAATATCAAAATATATTAATAGTTTAGTAGTAAGGAAGTGTTTATGTGTGGTTGAGGTTTAAAGTAAGGGGCTGTTTGTTTTTAATAAAAAAAACTCTTAATGTCCTCTTAGTCTGAATCGGTCAGACATAGGATTCAGTGTGTTTGTTTTTTTTCCAATTAAAAGCTTAAAAACTCTTATTAGGTCTGAAAATTTAAGTGGTTGCGAAACCTCTTATTACCTCTTATTTCAAATTGTCGCCTACCTACTCTGATCTCTTTGCGTTCGATTTCTCTAGATCAACTCTTCTGTCTCGATCTCTCATCTCTCAACTTTGTCAACTGTCGATCCATATCAACTCTCGATCTCTCATATTCAAACTTCAGATTTCAGACGCAATAAACAAACAGTCTAACTGATTCAGATTTCAGACTTCAGCACCACCTCTTAAAAATCCAAAGTGAATTCAGACTTCAGACTTCAGCACCTCTTAAAAAAAACAAACGCCACCTAAGTCTAGTAATTGTCATTTTGAAACTTTTTTATGAGTAATAAATCATTGGGTTTAAATTGATGCTCCTTGGGCTATGATGCCCTGGGCCGTCGTCTGGCTTGCCCACCCTCTGGGTCCGACCTAACCTCAGGTTTTAGGTAATTTTTTAAATTTGGAATCTTATCTAATTTTCTCTATTTTAAAGAACAATATGAAAAATTTATTGCAACAAAATAGAAAACAAAGACCTTATTTTCTCTATTTAAAAAATATGTTAAAAATACTCTTAATGGAGTGGATTTGTAACCACCAACAAAAGGAAGATTAATCTATTTCACTCTATCATGTTAATCTCCCTTTTGTCGGTGGATTTAGAGCAAACTCAAACCATCATTGTATTTTGAGTTCCTCTTAAAAGAAGCATGTTAATTTGATTATGTAATATGCATTAATCAATGTTTTTCGATAAACATTTGTTTAAAAACTATAAGATAGATATCCTGATTTGGGATTATGTGAAATCATGTTGTTTTCGTGATGTGAGATCATTCTCTTACACGTGAAACTTTATAACAAAACACTGTGAATGTAATCTTCACAGTGTTTTTACTGTGAATGTTCAGATATTTTTTACTTTTACAATGTTTTGCTGTGAAGATTCAAATGTAACGGGTCTCATGAAACAAGATGGTCTCACGTGAATCCAACCCTAAATATCCTTTTTTTTAATAATGGAATCAAACAAATTATAAAAAATATACATTTTTTCCTCTTTAAATACGAATTCATATTTCTATTTTTTTCAATTATTTTTAACCGATTGTTAATTATTGTGACATTACAACAAGTATACACGGTCATATGTAATTATATACATGATCATGTTATATCTTAGAATTCGTACAATAGAAATCCGTAATCCAATAACTCAAATATGAAGAATTGCACAAAATTTATTGGTTGAAAAACAATAATATAAATACATACATACACATATATATATATATATGTGTGTGTGTGTGTGTGTGAAACTTGTGTATGTATATATTACATATACATGTGCAGAAATCAAAACAAAAACATAATACTAACTTGATTGTTGCAACAATTTTGACGAAGAATGCGAATAGGATTGAGGCCTGCGTTATGCAGTGTCCTTAGACAGAAATTCGCCCCATGTGTCGGTAATTAGGACGTCTGATTAAAGGATTCAACAATCTGTTCGTAGTTGCAAACCCGAACCCGACGAATCAAACATATGCTTCCATCTTGAAATAGATATATATATAGAGAGAGAAAAGAACCCAGAAAATGTTGTGTATTCTGTCAAAAATGAAGTCAAAAGGGTATTTATAGGTGTAGGTAATCACACAAGATTAACCAACAAATAACTGTTGGACAATGCCCAGGGCGGGTGACACCGTGGCTTGGGTCGCGCCGCCCTCTGTTTGTCGCCACCAACCAAATATCTCCTCAATCAATCAAGAGAACCCAAGGCCCAAGGCCCTCTTGACATTTAATATGTCTTGAGCCCAACTAGATGATTAGGCAATTTAATAGAAGATAGAGGCTTGGTAATATAAGGCTCACATTGTTTTGGAATTTGGTCTATGTAGGACAAAACCAAATACCCAACAATACCGCACATTTTCTATTCAAACTCCAATAATGCCCCACATTTGAATAGAAAATAAGCTAAGGCAAGGTTCTTTTATATTGATAAAACAAACATGACATGTGTCACACCCCGCTAAAGCGGAAACACGAGGTATAGAAGATAGAGTCTCATAGTGATAGAGTATAAATAACACCACCATACATTATAATTACATTACATCACTAGTCAATGTTTACATTTCCACAAATACATCCCCAAAACGACAAGTTTGTAAATTATAACGATGATATAAAACAACAAATTTTTTTTCCGGAGGTATGCTTGAAACGCGGTTACTTTTATATGCCACTATTTACCTTCTTTACCCCTGAAAAGCACGTTAAAACAAATGTCAACTACAAGAGTTGGTGAGTTTACAAGTTTTTAATGTACAACAATTCTTTATGCAATTTTTGGTTCGAGTAAGTCTTTTACTTACTCGTGAACAACTTTCATACGTTTAGCACTTTTAACGAGGCACAATATACTCCAAGTAATTTTAAGTGTTGGGCCACTACTAAACCTGCGACAACTACGCCCTTTATACTGAACTACCTCAGCGGTGGTGTTTAAACCACATGGATAAAACCCGTGTTTTAGTTAAATGCACATCTACTGGTCAGTAAAAGGTGAGATTGTCAATCCAAATAGCGCTATCCACTTAAACTATCGGCTCATATGAGTTAATAAGTAGTGTAACCAAGTGAGACTTTTTAATTAACCCAAAGACAATTTTTACTAGTGTACATGGTGTTAGTGCTCGTATTCACAATTTCATTTTATTGCATATTTCATATAATCAATTTGTATTCACGATTTAATCACATTGTATATTCCATACAATCATCAACTACTTTTATACGTGCTTTTTCCCCAAATAACGATGGATTTAAAAAGGGGCCATGAATACTCACCTTTCCTTTCACGATGTAGATGGTTGAGTGATCGAATGGGTGCGCCTTGGTATAGTCCTTTTAGTGAATCCCTATAAAAACGAACGGTTGTGAAAGTGTTCGGTTTTAACTCTTAAAGGTTAAGGTTACTATTCTACCTTTACTTCTTATAAAATGCCTCTTTATGTTCTTAAGATAAAAAATCAAGTTTTAAGCACTTTATATGCTTATTATAGGGTTTAAGAGTCCAATCTTTAGTGGTTTTAGGAAATCATGCATGCTGACAGAATCTTTGTGTCTCAATAATGTCCATGGTTCACCCTCATCCAAGAAGTATATTTTCCTAATTTTTTTTATAAGTTTTAGTATATTGAGTTAGGATCATTATGACCAAAAATCAAGATTTTTGGATGAGTGAAAGAGTCTCAAACAAATTTTACCAAAACAGTGGTTATAGCTTTCAAAACAGAAAACCCTTCTTAATGTTACACCCTTTTGAAGATAACACATAAGGATAGCTTTTCCAAAAAGAATCATCATATTTGGGTGTATAGTTTGGGAGTTATGGTTGTTTAATCATGCATGTGGAAATCTTGTCAAGTTTGGACAGATTGCACACTTATTTTGTAAAAATTGGTTGAACCCCTAAATCACCATGTTTTTCGGTGAGGTTAGACTCTTTTGAAATCTAACACCTTAAGCTAAACTCCAGAGGTAAAATTTCATGAGTTTTGATGTTTCTTCTAAGAGTTATAGATGAACAATGAGACCCAAAATTTCTGACCGACCACTTTTGTACACCAAATTTGTTTTGGGTGTTGTGAGGTCATAAGGTCATATTTTCTCATGATTTCACTTGGGTTTGAAAGCTAATACAATAAATATTATTGTGGAAAAAGATTCATGCTTATTGGGTCCATACACAACCAGATATGGTCGTTCCAAACTCATGCAATGAATCTGTCCAAGAGAAAAAGTCATTCTTTTATGCAAAAATGGACTTTTATGCATCAAAATTTCCAAAAATGATGATTTTATGAGAGGAAACCACTCTACTATTCAATATTAAAGTAAGAATATATAAAATACAATATTCTTGTTAACAAAAATGAAAGAGAACTCAGATTCCATAAGAAACACAAAATGCATGAAATGAAGGTTTTTCTTGCTTTTTAAAAGTTCTAGAAGGTTAGGTCACGGATTTTCACCATATTAAGAACATTTTTCATGTCTTTGGTGTAAAATCTACCCTTAGAACTTAGAATGAAGAACACCTCTCCTTTGTAAACTTAAAAGTATGAAAATGACAAGAAAATGGCACTAAAAGTGCATATAATGAAGCCAAAACACCAACAAGTGTTCTTACCTTTGATTACAAGAAGATGATCTTAAATTTCTTCAAGTTTTGCTTCTTGAATCTCTTTTATTTCTTATGATTGCAAGGCTGAATTTCTCTTTCTTGGGGAAGAAGATGGAAGGAGAGAATTGTAGGTGAAAATTGAGGGAGAATAAGGAGATGAAAGGTTGCCAAATGAATGGGGAATGAATATTTTTAAAAATTCAACATGTATTTATATGGAGAGAGGAGGGGCCGGCCACAAGATGGGCCTCTAGGCCTTGCTCTAATTTTTTTTTGTAATAAAATTAGCCTATACTTTAATGTGTTGGGTATTTTTGTGAGAAATTGAGAAAAAAGCTCAAATTCCTATTTTATGAGATAAATAAATTCATAAAATATAATTTAAGTAAAAATATTTAAAATATGTAGACTCTATATTTCATGCAAGTTTTAAAAATTATTTGGAGTGTTTGACATTTTATAAGGTGATCCGGTTTGTTACGGGTCATAACAATGTTTTCTACGCAACATACCGGGATTTCTAACTACTTAAGCTCTAATCGCTCTACTTGAGTGTTAATAATATTTCTAAAGTGCTATTTAGCTACTAACCTGGTATTTTAAATTGCCGGATGCCACAGCTTCCCCTTGTTAGAGGAATTTCGCCTCGAATTTTAGCTGTTGGTATCACCGATTGTTCCTTTCATAAAAAGCTAGGGGTAATTATTTTTCATAAAGTCCTCCCTTTCCCAAGTGTACTCGGGTCCATGCCTTGAATTCCATCGAACTTTCAGGATTGGAATCTTACTATGTCTCAGTTGTTTGACTTTATGGTCGAGGATTTCGATCGGCTCTTCAACGAAGCGTAACCATTCATTAATTTGAATGTCTTCGAAAGGTAGAACCAATGATTCATCGGTTAAACATTTCTTAAGGTTTGATACATAAAATGTATCATGGATGACACTAAGCTCTTGAGGCAAGTTTAGTTTGTATGCAACCGGTCCTACTCTTTCAAGTATTTCAAATGGACCAACGTACCTTGGGCTAAATTTTCCTTTCTTTCCGAAGCGCATAACTCCTTTCCATGGAGATACCTTTAAAAGGACTTTATCACCCACTTGAAATTCCAACGGTTTCCTGCGGTTATCAGCGTAGCTCTTCTGACGATCTCTTGCAGCTTTAAGTCTTTCTTGGATGATCGAGATTTTTTCGGTTGTCTACTGGATAATGTCGGGTCTAGTCAGTTGTCTGTCACCAATTTCCAACCAGCTGAGTGGGGATCTACATTTACGCCCATACAAGGCTTCGTACGGTACACACTGGATACTGGTGTGATAGCCATTGTTGTAGGAAAATTCAACCAATGGTAGATGTGTATCCCAATTACCTCCAAAGTCTATCACACATTCTCATAACATATCCTCTAGCGTTTGGATAGTCCTTTCCGTTTACCCATCTGTTTGAGGATGATAGGAAGTGCTTAAGTCCAACCTCGTGCCTAGTGCCTTTTGAACTGATCGCCATAATCGTGAAGTAAAACGGATATCTCTATCCGAGATGATAGAAATAGGTACTCCATGACGTGATACAATCTAATTGATATATAATTGTGCAAGCCTTTTCGTACTGAAGTCTTCTCGAACAGGTAAAAAGTGCGCGGATTTCGTAAGCCGATCCACTATGACCCAAATTGAGTCATGTCCTTTTCTAGTCCTAGGTAACTTAGTAACGAAGTTCATTGATATATGATCCCACTTTCATTGAGGAATCTCTGGTTGCTGAAGGAGACCAGACGGTTTCTGATGCTCAGCTTTTACCCTTGCGCATGTTAAGCACTGGCTTACGTACAAAGCAACGTCCTTCTTCATTCCTGGCCACCAGTAATACTCTCTTAGCTCTTTATACATATTATCGGTTCCTGGGTGAATTGAGTATCTTGAGCAATGTGATTCCTCCAAAATTGTTGACCGAAGGCTGTCGTCCTTTGGTATCCAAACTCTATCTCTAAAGTAACGCATCCCATCTGCTCGAGTTTCGAATTCCTTCTCTAAGTGGTGTAGGGTCTCGTTCTTCAGATTCTCCGCTTTCAATGCCTCTTCTTGAGCTTCAAGAATTTGCATTTTTAGGTTTGTTTGAATCAGCATCCACATGGCTCGTACCCTTGACGGTTTTACCCTTTCTTTTCGGCTTAATGCGTCCGCTACCACGTTAGCTTTCCCCGGGTGGTACTTTATTTCATAGTCATAATCGTTGAGAAGTTCGACCCATCTCCGTTGCCTCATGTTCAGCATCTTTTGGTCTAGGATATGTTGAAGGCTTTTGTGATCAGTGAAGATGGTGCATTTGGTGCCGTAGAGATAATGTCTCCAAGTCTTGAGTGCAAACACCACTACTCCTAGCTCCAAGTCGTGAGTGGTGTAGTTCTTTTCATGAACCTTGAGTTTCCTTGATGCAAAAGCAATGACCTTGTCATTTTGCATCAGCACACATCCCAAGCCTTGGTGTGACGCATCGCAGTATACCACAAAATTCTTCGTACCTTCTGGTAGCGCTAAGATCGATGTGTGACATAGCTTATGCTTGAGCAATTGGAACGCTTCTTCTTGCTTTTCTCCTCACATAAACTCCTTATCCTTCTGGGTTAGTGCCGTCAGTGGTTGAGCGATCTTGGAGAAATTTGAAATAAAACGGCGATAGTAACCTGCTAAGCCGAGATATTGGCGAATTTCTGTCGGGGTCCTTGGGGCTTCCCACTTCTTTATAGCCTCAACTTTGGGCGGATCAACATGAATTCCCTTCTCATTTACCACATGACCAAGGAAGTGCACCTCACGAATCCAAAATTCGCATTTGGAGAACTTGGCATACAACTTCTGATCCCTTAACAGCTCAAGTATCAACTTTAAGTGCTGCTCATGCTCCTCCTTCATTTTCCGAATAGATCAGTATGCCATCAATGAATACAATCACGAACTTATCCAAATATGGCCTACATACTCTATTCATTAAATCCATGAAGACTGTCGGCGCGTTAGTTAGCCCAAAGGGCATAACTAAGAACTCATAATGACCATAACGAGTCTTGAACGCCGTCTTAGGAATATCTACCTCACGGACCCTCATTTGATGGTATCCGAATCGAAGATCGATCTTTGAGAAGTAAGTGGCACCTTGAAGTTGGTCGAACAAGTCATCGATTCGGGGAAGGGGATATCGGTTCTTGATGGTCAGCTTATTGAATTCCCTATAATCGATGCACATCCGAAGGGACCCGTCTTTCTTTTTAACAAATAGTACTGGAGCTCCCCAGGGTGAGGAGCTGGGTCTGATGAATCCTGTGAGTCCAAATTTACTGATCAATCTTCATTAACATCACAACAATCATGGCAGATCTTGATTTAACAATAAGAACATCAAGAACATAGAGAGAGGAAAAGTCAAACTTTCAAAGCTCAGTCAAACTCTCTATTATGTATMAAATCTTACAATTATGCTCTYCTACACCTAATTACAAAGAACTAACCACTATTTATATGGTCAACAAACTAAAGACAAGTCAAAGTCAACCTTCTAAAGAAAAGTCAAACACGCTGACTTTTACAATTATAGACTATTTTTAACTTTCAAGACGAATACAATTAATACTGATTTCTCAGTCCTAACATTCTCCCCCTTTGTATTCAGAYTTGAAAGAAAATTCTGCGCTTTGAGTCCTTGTTTGAACTTTGAAACATTATGCACAAAATGTCTTCTTCAAATGAAATCTTCAACTTGTAGTCTTCAAGATCAACTGTTGAGAAAGATCTTCTAGCATTCTCCCCCTCGAATGTAGAATCATGGTGATCTTCTCTTTTGACAATGTAGATCAAAAATAATCTTCAGAAACACTGTACAAGATGTGATCTTCAAAGGATCTTCAGAAAACAAGTCTTCAGTAAACTGTTGTGAAAAATGATCTTCACATTCAACATCTCTCAGTCAATGTAGCAAAAAAAATCTTTCTGTAATGATCTTCAGTCGCACTTCTTCTTTTGAGTCTTTTGCCATTTTCGAAGTTACTCCCCCTTGATCTTTGCATCAGATTCTCTTTAACAATGTTCGGAAATGAATATTTCATTCATTATTACATATACTCCCCCTTATGATGTAATGAGAATCATTCCATCATACAAAAGATGAATGAAATTTTYCGTTTAAACCGTCAAATCATGAAACTGTAAGTAGATCTTTGCAAATCCACTTATTTAATCTTTTCAGAATAAGGGAATGGGAAGATAACAACCAATTTCAACGTATGAAATTGTTTTCAATCTTTATAAAAAGATTGGTCTGTGAGTATAACAGATATACTCAGTACAACGGATGTACTGTAT